TAAACTTGAGATCTTCACACTAAAAGAAAAGAGAGACTTCGTGAAAGTAAGGTTTCTCGGACAAGAGAAAAAATATATACAGTTGAACCCCCTATTTCCAATTATAGTTCATACGAATTGGCAGAATAATCAAAATTATAAAGATCTATCAGCACTCTATGAGATAGGTGTATAACCACAAGATGAGCAAATCGTATATAGCAGATTTGTATGTAAATAATGGTATCATACATTAAGTATTGGCTATGAGACTTACCTCGAGGGTGGGTTCCGGAGTGAACGAAGGGAGGGAAAATATTCGCCTCCTGTCTTTAATAAAATTCAGATTATTCGTTCACTAAAAGCTAGAATAATCCCTAATTTTATGGCAAGACAGGAGGCTTCATATTTGCTGTTTTAACGCTCTCGAATAATAGAACAAGCCGCATGTGTTTGTGTTGGTTTAAAATAAAAAGTCCGAAAGGTAGATTCCCTTGACCAATCTGCGCAGGACAAAATATCTGCTAATGAACTGCCGGCCCGAAAGGCAGAGGATGCGGCCGCTCCCCTAACGGAGTGGGCCCCAAATGATCTATCGATTCCCGCTTGGATAAGTAACCATCTTATCCAGCGAGCGATAGTGGGGGAAGAGACCGGTTTGTGAGGTCTGACACAAGAGATGAAAAGAGGACCGGTAGGAGAACGTAGGGCGGCAGTTGCTTCTGTGTAACAACGAGTACACAGAGCCACACAGAGGGCTGGCCTGTCGGGAAAGTATGGGTAAAAGACAGACGAGGAATTCGTCTTAGTGCGCCTAGTAATCGTAAATCGGACCCCTTCTGGTGTGAAGGAGACAGCGTGTGAATCAAAAGCGTGAACGTCAGAAACTCTGCGGAATGACACCAGGCACAGTAGCATGGCCAGTTTTGAAGAGAGCTGTCGAAGGGATAAGGCCTCGTTAGGAGGCCAGGACTCTAACAATGCGAAGACTCGAGATATGTCCCAGAAGCCAGAGTATTTGGCAGAAGGTGGCCTCGTCAAACGAATGCTTCGTAAAAGTCTGCACACAGAAGGATGTTTCCCAACTAAGGAATTATCAATAGGGTCATGTCCCGCCGAAATGGCGGAACGAAAAACATTAATCGATCGGTATGATTTACCCTGATCGAAAAGGGATGATAGAAAATTTAGAATGGATGAGAGAGATGTTGAAACGGGATCGAAATCCCTCTCCAGACACCAGCTGACCCAAACTCGCCATGCGGCGAGATAGGTGCGCCTGGTTCCTGGTGCCCATGAATCCCATAGGAGTGTTTGAGCAGTGCTTGAAAGTCCTGCGACATGCCAAGCACCCCTGAAACTGTCCAGGCCACTAACTGAAGATGGCCCTGTAGAGCTAGTGGATGGTAGTCGCCCGTTGAGTTCTTGAGAACCCGATGTGAGCGAGCTAGAATGATGGGATAGTCTGTGGAAAGCTCCAGAAGAGTGGGGAACCACGTCTGGGCCCGCCATAGAGGGGTAACTATCACAATCCTGACCCCCTGTGATTTGACCTGGTGGAGAGTACGTTGAATCATGGAGAAAGGAGGGAAGGCATAGGCTCCGCTCCGTGGCCAATGTTGGAGAAAAGCGTCGACAGCTAGGGATAGAGGGTCTGGTAACCAGCTGAAATAATCGTCTGTTTGACGATTCAGCCGAGACGCGAAGAGGTCGAGAGTGAGCGGTCCCCGCAATAGGTGAATGTGGTGGAATAGAAGAGGATCTAATTGCCAGTCGCTGGCATCCCTCCAGTGACGTGAGAACCAGTCCGCGACTAAATTGTCGGGTCCTGGGAGATACTCGGCCCGAATAGACAGATTCCTGTCTAAGCAAAACTGATACAGATCCTTGGTGAGGTCTGACAGCAGTTTTGATTTGGACCCTCCGAGTCGGTTTACATATCGTACTGCGGAGATGTTGTCCATCCGAAGTACCAGAGAGCAGTTGGAGGCTTCTTTGGCAAAGCTGCGGATCGCGAAGGATCCGGCAATGAGCTCGAGACAATTTATGTGAAGTGCTTGTTCCGACGGGGACCAGAGACCTCCTGTGTATGATTGGGCGCACGTAGCGCCCCAACCGAGCAGGCTGGCATCGGATTCCAGAATAAAATCTGGTTGAGATCCGAAAATCGCTTTCCCATTCCAGGCTTCCATATTGCGAAGCCACCAGTGAAGTTCGATGAGAACTTCGTCCGTTAGGGAAATTAATTGGTCGTAAGAGGTCGAGCGATGTAAATAGGAGGTTTTCAGCCATTGCATTGCTCTGTAATGCAAGGGCCCTGGAAAAATAGCCAGTATTGATGCAGACAGAAGACCCAGCACGTGTGCTAGGTCGCGGAGCCGAGGTCGTTGTGACTTGAGTAATTTTTGAATCTCTCGTTTTATGTTTTTGATTTTGGAGTAGGGTAACTGTAGAGTTGCTTGAACTGAATCTATCTGAAAACCCAAAAATTGGACTATTTGAGAAGGTACCAGGTCTGATTTCTGGTAATTTATGACAAAACCTAGGTTTTGAAGGAGGGCAGAGGTCATGTGTGTGTGTTTGCGAAGTAATTGCTGATCTTGTGCCATGATCAGGATATCGTCCAAATATATAATTGAACGTATGCCCTGAGAACGAAGGAGCGCCATGACTGGTTTCATCAACTTGGTGAAACACCATGGAGCAGAACAAAGTCCAAAAGGGAGGCAGGTGAACTGCCAAATGTCGCCCTGCCAACGGAATTGGAGGAAGGCACGGTGACTTGGTGCTACAGGGACCGTCAGATAAGCATCTTTGAGGTCGAATCTGGAGAACCAGTCTCCCATGCAGAGCAAGTCCCTGAGAAGATGGATACCTTCCATCTTGAAATGACGGTATGTGATAAAGTGATTCAACGCCTTGAGGTTGATAATGGGACGGTGGTCCCCCGTTTTTTTCCGAACCAGAAATATATTGCTGAGGAAGGTGCAAGGGAAAGGCGAAGGTTCGATCGCCCCTTTGTGTACCAATTTTGTCAGTTCTGTGTTCAAGGTTAGAGTGTCTGCTTTTGACATCTCTAAGGGTGTCGGGTGAGAATATTGAACTGGATGTGTGATAAAATCTATTTTGAAACCTGTGACTGTATGAAGGATCCAAAGATCCTGAGAAAGAAGTTTCCACTGTGGGAAAAAGAATGTTAATCGACCTGCGATTGATACAGTTTTTAAATAAGCAAGGTCCATTACCTGAAGCAGTGCGTCCGCGCAGGGATGCAGAGCCACGTCCTCGAATTGAGCCTCTGGTGCTGAACAGCTGCCTGTGGTAGGGTCGTGAGTATCCCGTGGACCAATACTCTGTGGGTCGGGGCCTGTAGCCTGAAAAGGCTGCTCTACTGGTAGCTCGGCCCCTTGAGCGACCAGCTCTCCCAGAAAAACGATTTTGAATAGTGGGACGGAACACCCTACGTAGGGAGGACTGGGCTTTATTGAGTGTGGTAAAAACTGAGACATGCTTGGAGAGGTCTCGCATGAAACTGTTACCAAATAAAAGGCCATCGGCCTCTGGGCCTAGTTCTTTAGTGCTCAAATCCACTAGTTTGGCATCGATTTTTACAGTGCCGCTTTGCGTCTCTCAATTGAAATTGCCGTATTGGCATTGCCCAAAAGGCAAAGGGCTCTCTGTGCCCATTCTCTTATAATGTGCGGATCAAGTTCACCGCTGGTGAGTGCCTCATCTGCGAGTATGAATATTTGTATGATAGGACCTGAAATGTCCAATAATTTGTCTTGGGTTGCTTTCAAACCCTGTTCAATACCCTTACGAGGGTCTTTACCAGATTTTGTTAAATAGGTGACCAGCATGGGGTCAAATTCAGGGGTAGAGGCAACTTTGCCTGGGATAGTTGGTCTCGGGCATTCAGCCCTTAGTTTGTTTCTGATTTCTTTTTCGAGAGGCTTGCGAAGCCACAGTTTACAGAAATTAGCAATATGATCTGGGGGAGCCCATTCTGCTGAGCGCGGGTGGCGTATCACCCTTGGGTCAAAAAGGGGAAGGCCTGAAGCATCCAGGAGGGTGTCTGAGTCAGGTACCTTACTCTTGTGATCTTGACTTAGGAAGGTTTCTTTCACAAACTCCGATGTTGAGGAATCCTGGAGCACATTCACCATGGGATCCTCATCAGAGTAATTAGGGTCATAGTCACTTAGAATATGGCCAGATAAACGTGAAGTAGAACCCTCTAGAGGGTCTGTAGCATCCTGCGAAACGTAAGGATTAGAGTGTTTAACGACCTTAGCAGGAGCTTTGCCCTTGCCCGCAGTAGCGCTATTCCCTTTCCAGGGTCTCTTGCGCGGGGCGTTATCTTGGTCGGAGATATGGGAGTCCTCAGAATCAGAGGGCTGTTGTGTAGAGGGGTGTACCTCTGGATTACGTTCATGGTAGGCTGCTAGAGCCTTAGGAATGGACTCTGCGATAGTTGAGAAAAGCCATTCCTTAAGTTCAGCAGAAATCGCAGGGTCTTGGCGATCTGACATAATGACAATTTCAAGATAAATGTAAACCCTATTAGAGTGTCAATTAAGGATGAGGCAACTCAATTAGAAAATATGAGGTGGGGGTCACCCACGAGACGTCAGAATCAATGGGGGTCACCCACAAATGCTTGGCACAATAAATTAGCAAATGACAAATAATGGGGGTCACCCAATAATACAGATTGTGAGTACTAGAAATCTTGTAAATTTAGTGAGGTGGGGTCACCACTATAAAATTACACCAGTAATATATATAATGTATATATAATGTACAGTAAGTAATGGGGGTCACCCACAAAAAATAAATCAGGTGGTGTTAGCCACATAAATATTTACACAGCAGTGTTTTCAGTAGGTGGTGTCAGCCACACAAATATTGTACATAATATGTACTTTAGATAAGTAAGTGGGGTTCACCCACATGAGGGAAATAAAATGGTCAAACAGCAAAATTTGGTCAAAAAACAAACCACACTGTAATTATACAATTTAAGGAAAGGGGTTCACCCAGATAGTAATAAAATGGTCCTGTGTGGGCAAAGCCTGTGGAAAAAAACAGATAGGAGATAGATAAGTAAATGATCGTTTTTAATGAGCTTGTGAAAAAGAGGTGAAGATATAAGGTGGCAGCAAACCTACCTTCCACAAACTATTAATAAGGTCTGTATCCACTAGGATGATTGTAAAAATTTGTACGCCGCAGTGGAGGAGCCGTTGGCCGTTACTACTAAGGCTTAAGATGGCCGCCGCGAGATCGCCGCCGTAGAAAGGACGGGAAAGGTCCGCGTCAAAGAAGAGACGCCTTTGGTAGGCGGGAGGAAGGTAATGGCGGGAAATAGCAGCCGCGGCTCTGGGAAATGGAGTCCGCGGCTGAAGAGAGGCAGAGAATGGGCCGCGGCCAGCTGATTGAAAGCGGCAGGGTTTGAAAAATCCCTTCCTGCACTGAAAAAAAAAAACGGTTAGGACACCTAAATTTAAAGGAGAAAACAATCAAAATAACAGAACAGTGAAATAAGAAAAATACAAAATATGTGTGAGGAAAAGAGAGGAAATATTTAAAGGGAAAGGTGATTAAATTAAAAAATAAAAAATTTTAAGATGAATTCTGAGTATGCAGTAACAAGGTTTAAATAAAAAAATATTGAATTAACTTAAACCAGTAAGGCAATGTAATTGGAGCAGACTCACCTGGGAGGCAAGCAGCAAAGAAAGAGGAAGTGGGAGGAGTTTGATGACACTATATTGTAGTTGAGATATGTTATGATTGGTTGATTTTTCCATACAACATTGTTAACCATTTCTTTGCTGCTGGGAGTTACAGTAAAGAAAGATAAGCAAATATGAAGCCTCCTGGCTTGCCATAAAATTAATAATAACTCTGAGACTTCCCCTATTAATATGTAGCTTTTATTTATTTTTTAAACGAGCAGCTCAATGCTGTCATAGATTATAACCAGCCAAAGAAATTAAGGAATTTTAGTTTTCTTTCCATTTATTTAGTTCTTGATTGTGATCTGCTATAGACCTGCCATAACTACAATCTAGCACAACGTATAACCTCATATACTGGTCTTAATAAACTAAAAATAAACAAAAAGGAATATGTTCTATTACAGAACCGTGGAATGTAAATAACAACTATGGTATTTTTAGAAAATCAAGGGCTACGTAACATATCCATGTATCTCCTTTAAAAGGAATAGTGCTGTAGATATGTCAAGATACATATTCAATGGCATTCTGTTGTAAAAGAAAGACTCTGATAGATATAGCCGTGCAGTGACAAGTCATAGGGACGGTAGCATGGCATTACTAGAGGAGCTAAATTAATCAATGCTCTATCTAGAAAGTCATGCTCTTGGTATTATAACTGCAAAAAATCTCCAGTTCATGAGATAAAATGAGGCTCTTAATTGGAAAGAAAATGTAGCATGCCAATTTCCTAGGGGTAAATGAGTGCTATGAAAAAAGTCTATGTAGGAGTTCTACTAGTTTGAGACTTATTTAAAAAGTATCCAATATATAAGCCTCAACATAAATTGAAAACACGAATAAACTAGGGAGTGTATATAGGGTCTTGGCATTTTATTAGATCATTTATTAGAACTAAAAAAATTAATAATGTAATCACAATCTGCTAAAAAAACAAACAAAAAAAACAACATAATTTTGAATAATTATATCTACAGAAGTCACTATTAAAGCTTTGGGGATTTTTCTAGATAAATCATTTGAAAGGTTTTTCTAACCGATTTTAATCGTTTGAAAAGCTTATATAAAAAGATAGATAAAAAAGTGATTTGTTACAAATAGGCGCTTGTGAACAAAATATGTGTAAGTTTCTCCCCAATTACACACACTATCATGCACAAAAAGGTACAAACAATAGTGTGTCAAAACTAAGCCAATACCAGTGAGATAAGTAAATCATTATAATAAAAATACATTTACCCCCATTAACAGTAAGAGTATCTATTGTTAAGTGATATAGAAACAAAAACAAAATATAGTGTAGTAAATTGATCATTTATATGGTGCGATATAATTTAATTAGCTGAACTCACACAGAGCCTATGGGGATGGGTTCAGATCACTCAGGTCGACCGGACGTGTTGTACTACAGTGACACTATCACTCCCTATCTTTAAACCTGAACAACTCAAATGAAGAACAAAACAATGCAGAAATATCCAGTGCCGTAAGTTTGAAAGAAATCACTGGACCAAGAGATTTCTCTTGGTAGAATGCAAAATAAAATGTATTAAAATATAGAATGATAACAAATATGTTAGAATCAATAAAAGTCTTGGGTGATTCCTCCAAGACGCGTTTCGCCGACTTGCAGCTTCTTTAACCGGATATATCAAATTCCGTTAAACGTGCTTTTAAAACCACACTTCATTCCACATAATATGGTATGTCCCCCATGAGTCCTCCAATCACGGCTTGTGTGGGCAAAGTCCTGGTAACTTCATAACATAACGATGAAGTTGCCGCACCAGTTTTTCCTCTTTTTTTTTTCTTTACAGTTTAATATCTTTGGTGTGCCTCTCTACAATTGTTCTTTTCTGTGTTAGTATATTATATAGTTAATCATGTATGCAAAGTGAAGATTTTTTTTTTTTTTTAAAGTTGGGGGAAATGCCAAATATTGGATCCGCCCTGGGTGCTAAATGCTCTAGGTACGGCCCAGACTCAGAGTTCTCATATTCTATGTTTTGTCAACATTATATACATGAGATCAGGCATTCTGGTAGCAAACATCAAATCATCTAGAACACAGCCCAGATGGCCCATGTCACATTATCTCTTCACCGTCTAGTTTACCCGGTAAGTAAAATCTAAAAATCACGTGTGCGGGGCTTATCATAAAATGAAAGACTTTTTGAAGCACTTTTGTAGCACACAGCTCATGGATAGAACATTTTTAGCTTACGGCTTTGCTGTGTTGGCAACATAAATATATATTTTTAAAAAACTATTTCTTTAAAACAAATTTATCAAAATGCAAGTTTCTATTTTTCTTTTATTCTGTAAAAGTTCAGTGGCCTCAAACAGTTGAACTTTCCCGAAAGACTTTGCATTTGAAATATCTATTCTTTCTTTAAAAGGATATGTTAATAGAAATGACTGCAAGCTACATACCAGATACAAAAAACTTTAAAGTACAAAAAAATTAAAAGTAATATTTTAAGATTAAAATTACTCTAGATATTCATTGTTCAAGACTTTTACATATATTATAGAAACTTCCAATTTCATGTTATGACTTAATTTAAACTTGACATTGTGATTTAAAGCAACACTCCAAGCAACGATTATTGCCAATGCAGTGGTTATGGTGCAAAGTGTCCACTCGTGCCTTCTCAGGTTAAGTATTTAAACCGTTTGCGAATGGGCAACCAGGGCCGGCGCGTCCTATAGGCCAATTAGGGGGCTGCCTAGGGCACTGCTTAAGGGGGGGAGGGGGGTGGGAGCAGCTTTATTGTTGTTTGGACCTCCCTTCTATGTGGGACTAATTATGTATTGCGTGCAGCAAGCCATGGTACCGGGGGCTAGGAAGCACTTACATAGCTGCAGACTAGCACCCTGTGGCATGCCCTGCAGCATCACATATCTAACAAGACGGCAGCGCATGGGAGCATCGTTTCACTGCTCCCACCCCTTTTCCATGTACTCGGGGTAAAGTGGGCGGGAGGATAGCGGAGGCGGAGCTGAGAGAACGTGAAGGCAGCAAGGCGCAGTCCACAAGCCTGGGACACACAGAGCCAATATGACATGAAGGAAAGATAGTGTATTGTATAATAGTGTGTGTTTTTAATAGTGTTAGCCTGCTTCAGTTAATACTGTTGTGTCTGCTTGGACCAATGTGTGTGTGTATGTGTCTTCTTGCGTCAGTGTGTGTGTCAGTCTGCATGAGTCAGTGTGAGTGTGTCAGTCTACACGAGTCATTGTATGTCTGCTTGAGTCACTCTGCATGAGTCAGTGAATTTGTGTGTGCAATGGTCACTGATTAAGATTGTGTGCACGAGTGATCGTGAGTGAGTGAGTGAATGAGTGTCTGGGTGAGGGTGTGTATGTATGTATCAGTGATGGCATTTGGTCAGAAAGGAACATTTAAAAAAAAATCAATACTTTTAAAGGAACACTATAGTGTCAGGAATATAAACCTGTATTTCGAATACTACAGTGCAAACAAACTTGCGGCCCACAATGAATATATTTGCGTCCCGCCATTTGTCAAGGTAGTTTGACTGAAACATTGGTTATATGCAAATGCACATCTTCTTAAAATAAATTCGCTCTTTTGTTTACTTTGAAGCCTTACGAGCGTGAGGACGTTCAGTGTCAGTTAGGTGGCTTTTTTTATACTGTACTTTTCTAAATAAACCTATGTTTCAATGAAAACTTAATTTTTTGTTTTTTTGCAGCCCACATAAACTTAAACCTTGTTTATTTGGCCCGTGTTAGCCTTTGAGATTGACATTCTTGCTATAGAGTCTCTGTCCCTACATAAATTCAAGCACCCCCCATTATAAAGGGGGAAGGGGGTTTACTTACATTTATTTCTATTTTATAATCACCAAGACTCCTTCTGCACTGCTTGCCTCCTTACCTTGCGCAGTGTCACTGATGGGGCAACGCTAGTCCAATCCAATGTTCCTCATACAGGAGCATTGGGGACCTGATGCGCATAAGTGGCCAGCGCTATGCACTTGCAACGGTGGAGGCGCTTCTAGTTGCTGTCAGTGTGACAGCTACTAGAGGCGTGTTTAACTCTTCAAGGTAAGGCAATGTTTCATGTTGTGGGGTTATGCCTACAGGACCACTGTGGGCAACCTCCTCTGGTTCAGAAGGAATCTCTGTGCACTGACCACAGTGTTTAGCTTGGAAGGGTGCAAGGGAACTCCTTGTGCTGTCTATATTTCTAAATGTTTAATGAATCAAGTAAATTTCGCAGTTTTAGTAAATAGGTTCAGAAACAGGTAAGTGGCTGAAAAAAATAAAAACAAAAAAAACACAAAACATAGTATTTTTAAAATTGAAAATATGAGGCAATTGTATAAAACAATCATCATAGCAGCTGCCTTTGCACGGTGTAATCATATTCAGTGTCCGAACTTTAAATAGATACAGTGATATCATATACAACCATAGGTGTGCGCACGGGGTGTGCCGGGTGTGCCTGGGCACACCCTAATCCCCGCGGCACGCCTATGGAGTGAGACCGGCAGGGGAGATCTCAGGATCCCCCCTGTCGGCTCATGCAGAGCCGGCGCAATCCGAGCGCCCGGCTCTGCTCTCAGCCTCCCTCCCCACCGACCCACAGGCAGGGAGGGAGGGAGGCAGGGGAGGACCCGGGGAGCTATTGCCGGCAGCTCGGCCGGGTTCCTCTCGCAAGATCTGAGCGTTTCCGCGGCAACGCTCAGATCTCGCGAGAGTGAACTCTAGCCCCGCAGGCTAGAGTTCACTCACCGCTGGACCACCAGGGAAGGCAGCAAGGTGAGAAGGGAGGTGAGACGGGAGGGGGGATGCCCCCACCTCCACTGGACAACCAGGGAAGGCAGCAAGGAACAAGAATCCCCCCTCCCTACATAAAGAAGGGAGGGGGGATAATGTACCCACACACATACAGCACCCACAGACATACACAGCACCTACACACATACAGCACCCACAGACATACACAGCACCTACACACATACAGCACCAACACACATACAGCACCCACACACATACAGCACCCACACACATACAGCATCCACAGATATACACATCAC